TTAAGCCCTGATCATTCTAGATATCGCATTATTAATTCAGTTTAAACAATGGAATTTTCTATTCAATAATTTCATCAATAATTATAATAGACCTCTAGTTTCATAGATTTTTCTTAATTAAGAGGCGAGGGTTCGGAATATATCGTGGCCTCTATAGATAATAACGGAATAACTTAATTTTACATATTTTGTACTGTTTATTAAAATTTGTAAGACAATTAAATGGTTGAAAATGTTCAGTTATATCACAGATATAACAATTACTGCCATAGTAAAGAAAAAGGTTAACTTTAGCTGTTGCCCACGAAATTTTATCTAAAGATCTGTGAATATATATATATATATATATATATATATATATATATATATATATATATATATAAGTGAACATAAAGTCAACACTTACAGGCGACAGTCTGATCCATGCTAGATTCAATCCTCAGGCCACGAGTCGCTGAGGATTGCATCTGGCATGAAACAGACTGTCGCCTCTAAGTGTTGATTCCTATGTTCACTTTTATATTTACACACGGTCTATCTCTGATATTGAGCACTTTATCCCATAAATATAGCACATCTTAAGACTATATATATATATATATATATATATATATATATATATATATATATATATATATATATATATAGGTAACTGTATGTATACATGTGTATTTAGCCTGGTGTGGTTGTTGTTGTATATGGATATGTATATTACGTTGGTGGGGGTGTTGATATAAAGGTTCCCCATAACAAACGACGATAATTTACGAGACTAAAAAGTGTTTAGAGGGTATGCCAGTGAGTGGCCAACAAAGTTTTTTCTTTAAATATCGCTAGCTGAAGGAGCTGTAAATATTAAAGTATTATATTCTAGTATTCTCATTGGAAAGGTAGATTTTTTTTCTTCCACTAATTCGACTGGTGTCCATTGTAGCGTCAAGGATTATTGTTACCAACCTCTTCATCCCCTTTACAGCCGTCAATTACGCAGTTGATGAAGGTCCTTTAAATTAATTTATTTATGTTTTTCACGATACTAGCTTAATAGCCCAAGAGTTTTAGGTAGGCTAATGTCTCCTAACCTAAAATTTTTTAGGTAGGCTAATGTCTCCTAACCTAAAATCTGTTATTTTCTCTATTTCTTACCGAAGATGTATGGGTCATATAATAGATAAAGATTCGTAATGAGAAATCATGGAAGCGATTTAGATTCCCAAACGTATTCTTTGTATAGAAATATGCGCAATTAACCTTAGGAAATATATCGATGCACCTCCCGCTGAAGCTATCTGTCATTGCATATAGATAAAGCATAAATTTCAGCGTAAAATAACCTAGAAATGTTTTGATAAACCATAACAAATACAAATCATTATATATCTTTAGTTTTTGCCAGCATAACATCCATGCTAATGTCACTGCCTTTTAAGGAATTAAATCATATTTTGATAATTTTGCAGTGAGGTTGATTTTGGAGAACTTCATACGTTTAGGTAGCGCAGCTAGATGACTCAAGATTCGGCACGAGTCAAAAGAGAGTAATGTATGACCGCTGTGCAGACATATTTTAGTGTGTCTTCTTCCCATTTTTATTGCCTGTTGTCAGTCACTTTTCAAGTTTGATGTCTTAGGATTAATGCACTCCACTAAAATTAGTTGATCTATTACATAAAGATATGGGATCGTATTCCTGATGCTCTAACTTAATGCTGACATTTACTTTTTGATTGATTTTCAAACCAAAGTCGGTAGTGGCCTTTTCAGAGTAGAGTACAACGTTTCGCGATACATGTTATTAGTGGGCAACTATAGCTGCATCATCTGTGAATATTTGCTCACTTTGTAGTCTAAGTTCCCATGAACATGTTTTCTGTGACTGTAAAGAGAACGAACTATGACAATTCACATAAAAGGAGACTTAGAAGTACCTAGGAATTATGCTGTTTTCTACTTAGTGTAAAATTTGTCATGTTTACAACGTCACTCTATAAAATAATAAGAAAACTTGACTGCACACGCAAAGTCATCAGCATCGTGGTTCAAATGAGACGTAGCTTGATTGAATATGAGTAGACATCCATCCCATAACCCAGTTTCTACGTGTAAGCTGCACGAAATACAGTTTCATTCTCATCTTAACATGTCTCGTTATTCGTTCCCCGATCACAGGAATCTTATACGTTTCAAGTCTAGGGTCAATCATTATAACCCCAACAGATCCCTATAAACTGCGGCTCTTATTCTATAAAACTCTACATCAAGTTGCTACTAAGCCTTGTTCAAGGAGATCATCAAATAAAAAAAAGATATTAATCAGGTTTGAAAATAGTAGATGACGATAACATCGTTTCAATCTTTCAGGTAAATTTAAAATAATAATTGCAATTACGAAAGAAATATATATTACTTCATTGTTTATGGACTACTGTATTTAAAATAGATGCACCTATATACATATCTTCTTTATTTTATCGAATTATCTTAATAAAAAATATATTCTTTCTGGCATTTAATTTATTAAGCTTTCTCTTGTGCGCAGTCCGATAGTTGCAATGCACACTACTCGAAATAAATATGGGTGGCTAGTTCAAATACGGGTATTCATTAAAACATAACATTTCAAGTAATAAATATATTGGATTAAAAATATACCCATAAATAACAGGAAAGTGCGATAGATAGATAGATAGATAGATAGATAGATAGATAACGGGTGTGTTGTGTATGTGGTAGTAATCCAACTCTCATACATATTTCATTGAAAATGACGGCACTCATCTGCAAAGATTTGCATTGGGTATTATTTGTTTTCGATTACTCTATTCTAAACCAAGATTTCTTTGTAACGCTTAAAAGGAATAATGAATGTTTTCCTTTTTAGTTCATTTCCAATATAGCGTCTGTGGATGTTTTTTTTTTATGTGTGTGTGTGTGTGTTTGTGACTGTGTGTGTGCTTGTGAGTGTGTGTGTGTGTGCGTGTGTGTGATAAATCGTAATTTTGCAGTACAATAAATGTATGAATGATCCGAAAAAACAAAAAAAAAAAATCAACAACAAGCAAAAAAACCATATGTGTCTCATAACCAAATAGATTTAAATAAGAATAAATCTATGAAATACTTAGGTCAATTTAAGCTGATATCAAATTATTCTCATATAATTTACTACTGACACATAACTGCTTTAAATTAATTATGTTTTTAATTCTTTCATCCCAAGCAAGGTGATAACATCTGTTAGAATGCAAGGGGTTACAAAGAAAGGAAGGAAAAAAGAATATGATGAAACTACACACGTTATAATGCTTCCATTTTTATTTTATAGAGGATACAGTTTATAATATATTCATTGGTTAAAATCATCAAATATTTTTCCTCAGTATATTTACAATGTTTGCCTCGGATTCGTATTCATTAGAAAATTAAAATGTTTTAACAACTTTATTTCAGTATGGAATATTTTTATTTCGATGTACCACAATATAAGACACGAATTTATAAATATAAAAGACTGTTTATTCTATTGGATATAAAGCTAGAAAATTTAGGACGTATGAGGACTATTTATCGATGTATATCTATCGCTTGTCTTCATATATATATCGGTCATATAAAAATAAATTTTACAAATTCTACTGGAATTTTATGCATGGTCACTGAAATTATTTCCAAGTGAATTTGTTCCAAAAATGCACAGTTAGATAATATTATAAGAGATTCGATTTAAGACCAATGCACCAAATAATTTTTTCGGTTTCTAGGTTTCGCCATGTGAACATATTTTTGACATATTGAGTACTTGCAATAGGAAAGTGCGTAAATGGAAATTGTGGCTGACAACTGTGTTTTTGTATTGATAAATCTTTCAAGCATATCTCGATACATGACTACATTCATGTTTGAGGAATATAACAGTTATTTTTCCCGTGAACCTCTTATTGGTTCCTGCACATGACATATACGAATGATGCCTGGAATCCGAACAGAACCAACTGTTCTTCCCTCAAAGAGCCTTCTGGTGATGTTGCACCAAATGTGATAGACTGAAAGCGGTGTGTTGTAGAATTTGTTCTTTAATGGAAAACGAAAAAGCAGAATTGAAAAAGCAGTGGAAAAAATGTTGCATTCTCGATATACTTGTCCTTCATGTTCCAATCGACACTATACAGCACACACACACACACACACACACATATATATATATATATATATATATATATATATATATATATATATATACAAACATACTGATGAGGTATGGCGATTTACCTTTTTATTCAAATCTACTCGTGTTCATACAAGTGCTTTATTTTCTGGCCACAAACTGGATAAAACTGCCCAAATTTTCTGCATATACCTGCACATTCAGCTATTTTTTATCCATTATCGAGGGTTTTTTTAATAAATATGATGTTTATTTATGTATATGTCCAAAGTTATAAGAATGTTTTATTTTCCAAACACGATCAACACATGTTCATAATTAATATTATTGAATGTTGGACTCTTTCTTTTTTATTATTACGGTTTTCATAATTTTTTTTTATTTTTTTTTACATTTGGATGAGACTATTATACTTTTACTTTTTACTAGTATATTTCCGATGGAGTCTGGTAATTTTTCTCTCTTTAAATGAGTTCTATTAGATGTATGGTAGGCTAAGTGTAACGTAAGTCGTCTAGATCGGCATGAATTAGTATCACCAATGTGAAAACTTATGAGTTTGATTTGATCAGGAACACAGTTCATTAAGAAGGTATTTGAACTCATGATGTTCCTTCTTTGTAGATTTTATTTTGCAAGCGTGTTGTTTTTTTATGAAAATTTTATCTGTTTTAATTTTTTGTAATAGATAATTAATTCCATTTTCTTGGTCGACTGGGACGTGAATTTCTTCATGATATATCTAAGATAAAATTCGTCTTGCTCATAGCATGAATTTGGTTTTGTTTTTATCTGTATATTCAGTGTCATTATTAGTTACTTTAGAAAGAAACAG